CTGTCTGACGCGTCTGCCTCCGCGACCCGAAAGGAGAAGCGGCGATGGAAGATGAAGATGAAGATTAACAACAGTGCCTCTTAATTTAGGCTGTTTTGACTGGCTGAAGATCTGCAAGTTCTTTGTAGGTTGTTTTGCCTGTATAGAGTAATTCTTTGCTGGTTTCTGGATTTATTTATGGGATTGACGATATAGACTTGAAGATTATTTAGCCAAACTGTTTATGGATTGCGGAAAATTAACTTTTATTTTATTGCAACAGTGCAAAAGACTTTCTTAGTTGCCTAAGACTGCCTGAAGCGGCATAAGTAGCATTCTTTTATTTTAATGATGACACGAAATTATATGCAAACGGCCATACACTCCTTGATAGGAGTTGTGTTCCGACATGCGATCAATGTCTCATCACAGACCAGAAGGTGCAGTTGGTTGATGGGCGGTAGAGTTCGACTGTCACAAGTTACCGCGCATCATTTTTGGCCAATACATGGAATTACTCAATTGTGTCAATGCTACTCGTAGAATACAGTAGTAAGTACAAATGGTTTGGACGTAGTTTTCAACAAACAGTGACGGCGCTGCGAAGATAAGCAGATTTGCGAACGATATAGACTAGAAGTTTGTGTCATGATTATGCTCGCTATCCACGTGATGTTCCCTACTACACAAAAGTGCCTCACCATTCCTACACAAGTACAAACTTTACCGTCCTGATACGATGTGTTATCGTGGCAACAAATCTGTTTGTAGGTTGCTACATCAAGAAACAATTGCAAAAGCAGATTAGATTTTAAAACAAGTATTAACCTCGTGGTTAAACATAATTCGAAACACTGGGTTCCAGTAATTTGCATCAGTACATCTTAGGATGCAAACGGGATGATCACCTTTCTACCGTTTAAAATGCGTTATTTCATCATGAGCACTGCACGCTGACCCTATGGTGCTAGATATCGTTGATAAGCGTGTGTGCCTCTGTCTGTTGAGATTATAACCTTGAACATTTTGCATAAGTACAATGCTTCTGGTTCGTGACGTCCGATGAATCAACCGATTCATAGCGCTTTTGCTGTTAGGCACAGGTTACTGCATGGCGGAAGGAAATATTGCTCTCCAAAAATAGATCTACGTTTTCTTCGTTCCTTCATGCTTTATGGTCGACGTCTGCCGTGTTTCGGTTCTTGCACTAGAAAATCATAAGCTGGAGTAAATAACTGATGTTCGAGCAGTTTGTCCAACAGCGCCAATATTCGTTTATCAATTTCCGTATCTAGTGATGTCCCTTTGCCAGGAAATGGAAAGAATCATGCCGTTTGTTTTCCCGACATTTAACCCTGATTCTGCGGTGAGGCCAGCGCCACTGTGTGCAGTTTAACCATCGATTTTGCTCCATAGTGAGATAAACTGTCTCCCTGCCTACAACAATACCGAACTGACAGAGGCAAGGTACAGGCGATTTTTTGTCGAATAACTCAGCCCAATTATTACAGGTTTCAGAAAGCCCTGAAAGCAATGTCGACCACGTTGACAAGTATGTAAAAGCTTGGCCAATTTCTGCATATTTAAACAATAAAACGTATTTCCTGAGTCACGCTCAACGATAAGTTCAGTTTGAACAGTGGAAATGCTGTGAAGTCGAAACCAAATTGTGTGTGGGTGTTACCGGTTTGAAGAAATACAACGAGCTGTCGAAGAGGATGCAGAGAGAAATAAACGACCAATGTGCTTTCGTGACATCCGTGTGAAGACGAACCGAAAAATTCACCGAAGGAACGTTGGAAGACGTTGTATATGATCTGCAATAACTAGCCAATAAGCACCAATTATATCTAATACGCTTGTGAAACTTAGCCAAGATGCTGCAGGACATATTGCGAAGACCGACAATATCAAAAGAACGATCCGAAACATCAGAATAGAGAAACAAGCAGCACCAGCTTTGCCTATGACCCGACAAAAAATTTCATTTCCCGAGGAGTACACAATGACTAAAGAAGGCGAACCGTTCTTGCTGTTTGATTGAGAACAAAGTTACAACAAATGGAATAGTTACTTTCCACTGCAAGAAAACTCCGGTTACTGACCTCATCTGAACATTGGTTTGGGGGCGGAACTTTGGAAACAGTGCCTCATTTGTTTTGCCAACACTACACACTCCATGGTATTCAGGTGAGAGTTCAATTTCGCTTTTGTATCCGCTACTACCAGACAGGACAGAGGCCACATATGTTCGGTTAGTACAATAAGTAAAACAGTTTCAACCAGATACCTTCCCGCAAACACTTATGACCGATTTCGAAGCTGCCAAAGTCAGTGCTATTCGTCAAGAATTTCCAAGGGCTAGATATGGAGAATCTTTCTTCCCTTTCTCGCAGTGTATATTCCGAAGGATTCAGACAGAGGATGTTCAAAGAAGGTATGAAACTGATGTCTTATTTGCAATGAAAATGTGATTGTTGTTTGCGTTGGCCTTTGTCCGAACAGAAGATGTGGTAGAAGCATTTGAGCTTCTTAGCGGTAGCGGTGATAACATGCCTGAAAAAGCGCAGGGCGTGATTGATTGGACGCCAAATGTCCCCATTCTCACTAGAAATGTAAAACTGTCACGAAGGAATAAGACACCGTCTTCAGAAGACAAAGAATTCGATTTAAGGGTGGCATCGTGGATTCGAAATGCACATGTCTGCACAACATCCTAATAACTGGAGGTTTATTGAAACGATTCAGCGCGAGCTGAACATTAGAACATTGCAAATAGAACTATATGTGAGTGGCTCTGTGCGTAAGAAATACAGGGATTGCGCTAAAAAAATTTTCAGGGTAGTTGTGAATTATGACAAAAATAATGTTTTAGTTTTTGAAAGATATGGCATGTGGGATAAATTACGAATTATGTATTGCAATAACATATTTGCATGGGTGTAGATAATGCCTGAAGTTTTTTCAATTGAATGATTTCAGTGAAATCTGTTTTATTCGAAATTTACAGGTACGCACATATGTACATCATTATCAATTTAGGGCAAATTAATTCAAAACCAGAGCATTAAAATTTTTTAGAAAAATTGACAATATTTTATATGAAATAAATTAGTATGCTTAAAGAAGCTTTCCACATTTCATAAATTTTAATAAACAAATAATCCGCGATCAATTGTAGAATAGGTGAATTTTCCTTTCGACGAATCGCGGGTCGGTAAATTTTTCAGTCATGAATTTCAGTCGGTGAACTTTCCCAGATCCACGCGAAACAACAGACTAGCCGACCGTAGAGCGAAAATATTGCAGAGGTACAAAAAATCAAAATCCATTCAAAGCAAGTAAGTAAATTGTGTGAAATCATATCAAACAAATAACGATATAACAGTACAACGCACGAAACTGCTTTAGCCTATGTGTTGTGCGACCATCACATAGCGCAGCCAACTACTAAATTTGCTGTATTTTTTCATAGTTAGACATTATGCTGGCAGTTACACTGTAACATGGCCAGCTATCAGGTAGGTTACGGCCAACTGCAACCACAAGAAGCATTCGCCACAACATTGCTGTACATTTGCCCACTGTGGTATGGTCATAATACCATAATATTCCTGTAATTTGCAGTTCAGCGATTTGCTGGATGCAATGTGGCATAAATTTTTTAATCAAGGGAATTCGCGGTTCAGACAATGATCACTCCTACTTCGCGTTCGAACCCCCTTCTTCCGAAGCTCCAAGTTCACTGAACTCTAGTGTTAATCTTCTGAATATCTTAGAACCATCAGCTTGAACCGTCAACTGAACTGCCAAGTGTCGCGTCCAAGCTATCTGATTCAAAGAATTACCAGGAATAGCTAAAGGGCTACCGATTTCGATGAAAGTTGGAACACCTTAAAGACGGCATGACCGATAAAAATATTTGCAGGTTTGAAAGGAAGCGCGTCTTTGGAGGCATGCACTAGCATTTCTTGTCATTAGAATATGAGGATATTTTCACCCAACCTCGTCTGTGATTGAATCAGTGCATCGTTTACCACTGCCACCACATTATCCTCCAAGGTTTATTCGTCCCATTCACTGATTAATTCGCAGCCTGCCCATATATTGAGAACTGTTGAACTTTGCGGAATTCGCGAATGTCTCATCTCAGCAAAGAAACGAACTAATAGCTGCCACAAGTCAATAAAAGAAGTCAAGAGTAAATAACTGCAAAGTGGTCTATTACAACAAAAATTTTCTACGGAAGCATACAACCTAAAACGCTTAAAACAGTACAGTACATAAAACTCCATATATTCATTTTCAATGAATCATTTGATTTGTTTCCAAAATGTACAGCAACTAGTGCAGGTTGACGCAACATTTCATGTCAGACCACAGCTTCATTTGACCAAAGACCTCAAAATCGACAGTGACGAACCGCGGTAACCGGCTCCAAAGTGATTCCTAATTTTAA